CTGGTGGACTTTTCTCTTCAAGGTGGCCCATGTCAATCAGGACATGGGACTGTGGCTGTGCATGCTGCCACACATGACTCTGGTGGACTTTTCTCTTCAAGGTGGCCCATGTCAATCAGGACATGGGACTGTGGCTGTGCATGCTGCCACACATGACTCTGGTGGACTTTTCTCTTCAAGGTGGTCCATGTCAATCAGGACATAAGGCTGTGGCTGTGCATGCTGCCACTCATGTCTCTGGTGGACTTGCCTATTCAAGGTGGCCCATGTCAATCAGGACATAAGGCTGTGGCTGTGCATGCTGCCACACATGACTCTGGTGGACTTTTCTCTTCAAGGTGGCCCATGTCAATCAGGACATGGGACTGTGGCTGTGCATGCTGCCACTCATGACTCTGGTGGATTTTTCTCTTCAAGGTGGCCCATGTCAATCGGGACATAGGACTGTGGCTGAGCATGCTGCCACTCATGACTCTGGTGGACTTTTCTCTTCAAGGTGGCCCATGTCAATCAGGACATGGGACTGTGGCTGTGCATGCTGCCACTCATGACTCTGGTGGACTTTTCTCTTCAAGGTGGCCCATGTCAATCAGGACATGGGATCCTGGCTGTGCATGCTGCCACTCATGACTCTGGTGGACTTGTCTCTTCAAGGTGGCCCATGTCAATCAGGACATGGGACTGTGGCTGTGCATGCTGCCACACATGACTCTGGTGGACTTGTCTCTTCAAGGTGGCCCATGCCAATCAGGACATGGGACTGTGGCTGTGCATGCTGCCACACATGAATCTGGTGGACTTTTCTCTTCAAGGTGGCCCATCAGGACATGGGACTGTAGCTTGGAATGCTGCAAGTCAAGTGTTTACGGGAATATATTGCACAAGTCAAAATAGAGAATTACACCGTACACCACTTCTTTCACCGTAGCGTAAAATTTGAAAGCTTAACTGAGGCCTTGAATGTTACTACCGAGATCAAATAACTTTTTAACAAGTCACGTGACGCTCTTTGAAATCATCGTGGAAAGAGCATGCTTGATTGTGCCTCAAAAGTTGTTAAATGTAAACATCAAAGGATGGGGCTTCAGGAATATTGTTCGGCATAAAGAGAGTTGATGAAACAATGCATTTCAATGTAGACCCAAATAATTAGCACTTAAATTGCATGGTTATGTTATTTGAGGCTTTGTAAGTGGCATTAACTACAGTTTACTGGAACAGAATAGTTTTATTCTAGTTGTTTCTTGTTTTTCAGTTTGTGAATTCTACCAGTGCCACATCAACCGTTTTGACAGATGCTAATTTGAGTAGACAGATGTTATTCAAATTTCTTAATACAAACTATGAAATATATGCGACAGATGTCTGCTGTCAATTGGAAATGTTAAATATCTAAACTCGCTATCAAATTGTTCGCTCATGGAAGCCTAGACTGAATGCATTGTTTAGGAAACTACCACCCATAAAAAATAACTTACCTGCAAAGCGAAGAGAACGATGTAATTCATTTTATACAAAGCCTATTAGCCTAGGTAACTTAAAATAATATTACCTTGCCAGTTTCTATTTGCAATTTCTACATATTTTGAATTCTACAGCTTGTGTTTTCTATATTTGGGCGTTGATTGTGTCCTAATGTGATCCCTCCCGATAATTATTAACTGGAGTTGTTGTAGAGATGCAAATGAGACTGCAGTAAAAACCTTCACTTGCTTGTTTGTTTGTTGTTTAACGCCGCACTCAGCAACATTCCAGCTCTATGACGGCGGTATGTAAATAATCGAGTTTTCAACAATATTCCACTTATATCACGGCATGTCAGCTTAACGTGGGATGAAAGCCCGTAGTTATGCAGGTCTTAGACGTTTGATATAAGTGATGAGTGAAGGGTAAATGAAGACCCGGGGTAGAATAGGTCTTCAGCAACCCATGCGTATCGTAAAAGGCGACTATGCTTGTCGTAAGAGGCTGCTAACAGGATCGGGTTGTCAGGCTCGCTGACTTGGTTGATGCATGTCATCGTATCCCGATTGCGGAGATCGATGCTCATGATGTCAATCAATATTACCGATGTGACGTTAAATTTTCACTCACTCACTCACTCACTCACTCACTCACCCACCCACCCACCCACCCACCCACTCACTCACTCACTCACTCACTCACTCACTCACTCACTCACTCACTCACTCACTCACTCACTCACTCACTCACTCACTCACTCACTCACTCACTCACACTCACTCACTCACTCACTCACTCAGTATATAATATGTCCAGGACAAATCTGTCGTGTATTAGACGATGGCTGTCCCCTGAAATGTTATGACATTAGATGACGAGGGCGAAACATTTTTAGTGTTTTATGATATCCGAGGCTTGGGAACACTGGTTGGGTTACACCAAAACATGCGGTTTGAAATCAGTCACTGACATGAGAAACAAGGTCCTTTAAACAACATGATAATGCATAAATAACTGTACAGAAGGTTACGGTGAAACAAGCTGATTTGGGACTGATTGTACTCAACAGCTTTCCTGTTCACATGCGGTGTCCAAATATACGATATTGCATTTACACTAAACATGTGCTTGACTTAAGCCCCATTCACATGGACAAAATTTACTAATGTAAGCAAATTTACTCATGGAGTATATTTACTCATGTAAGCAAAAGTATATTTACATTGCGTTCACATGAAGTTTATGCAAGGCAGAAGTAAACATCATTTCATAAATAAATTGTGGACTTTTATCATTTGAGGCCATGTCGCTGTCTAAGATAGTCAACCAGAGGCGAAAGAGAGACTTTCCATACTTTCTTAGGATTATGCCAGGAAAGAGAACTGTGGAAGAGAGAACGTTCTCAACACTGGTGGAACAATGTCGTCAAACGATCATTTGATGATAAACTGTGGATCGATAACTTTCGCATGACACGCGAAACATTTTATGTTCTTTGCAAGGAACTACAGCCGTATTTTCCTGCACAGGAAATGTATGTGAGGGAACCATTGGAGCTGGATCACAAGGTGGCCATAACAATGTACTGGCTTGCCTCCTCTGCAGAGTTTAGAACAATCAGCAACCTGTTTGGGGTTGGTATCTCAACCGTGCATAAATGACCAGAAATACTCCAGGAGCATTTATACTTATGAGTAAATATACTTTTACTAGATCTTATCAGGCGTAGCAATATACTTTTACTCATGTCTCTTTACTCCTGGAGTATATTTACTCACGTAAGCAAATGCGTTCACATGCCACCATAAGTAAATTTACTTATGTAAGTATATATACTCACGTAAGTAAAAGTGTCCATGTGAATGGGACTTTATTTGAGTTGTTTACTGACGAATAACAAGTGTTCTTCATCCTCTGGGGGCGGTCGGGTAGCCTAGTGGTTAAAGCGTTCGCTCGTCACGCCGAAGACCCGGGTTCGTTTCCCGACATGGGTACAATGTGTGAAGCCCATTTCTGGTGTCCCCCGCCGTGATATTGCTGGAATATTGCTATTAGAGGCGTTAAAACCATACTCACTCTTCATCCTCTGTAGATGCTTCCATATCAACGTACAACAACTTTTAATATACAACTTAATCAAGTTGAGTACTGAGGAGCCAAGTATTACTCGCATTCACTCACGTAAGCAAATTATAGTAGATATAGTAATGAATGAAACTTGAAACGTTACAAACTTTCTGCGTAGTCCCCATTAGTTTCTGCGGAGGCTTTTCTCATTGTAGTGTAAGTAACAAAAGAAGTGCCCACATGATATATAACATTATATACAATGTCATAAATAATTTCAACACATTTATATCAACTATGAGCTAATTAATAACTTCATGGATAATGCTTGTTGCGCATTCATAGTTTTGTTTCCATTTTTACATTATATACTGTAAGAGTAAGAGAAGGTTTAGGAAATGGGATTCCCCGAGGTAAATACTAAAATAACAGCTGTTGTTTATTAAACGGATACTTTTTCCTGAAAAAAACCATTGACTGCTAATTTGTTCTCTTACTTTCCAATTTAATTCATTTCCTAGTTTTTCAGTTCTTTGAAACTGTTCAGAATGACGTTAACATGAGCCTAAGGTAATGCGCCTGTTGAATGCTACCCTGTGAGATCTGTCACACCTATCACTAGTTTGATGCTTTCTCCATGTTCGGCCATTTCCAACACCCTCCACTAGTTATTAGAAACAGTTAGCAAAACATTTGCATTCTATCTTAATGCCATCCTCCATGCACGCAACATATATAACATATACTTCGTGAGATCTGTATGTAATCCATACAATATGTTCATGTTCATTCATAAAAATATTGATGGGTGTGGGGAATTGACGTTTTTGGTAGGGAATTGTGGGGAGGTGTCCGACCCCTGATACATTCTGGATGATGAAGGCATTGAATTAAAAAAAGATATGGGTGTGTTTATTGCATGGATTGGCAAATAGGCAACAACATAATGAAAACATAAAGTCTTTGCGTGGGATCGTACCGGCGGTTATTTTCATAAAGAAATAACGAGGGTATTTCTTTGACAAAAATAATTCAACGCTGACGAAGTGCCAACGCGCAAAAACAACCAACTACACCTGTATCGAAATGAAACAGGCGGTTGAATGTGCAGAGATGTCGTGGCTTCAAAACTTGATGCACATGGTGAACAAGTTCATGTTGATGTCAGCTGCATGTATTTGGGGGAACGTGTTCGTGGGAAACACTACACGTGCACCGCCAACTCGTTGTCAGCAGATATTTTCCAAAACTTTTCATGTTTCTAATCAAGGTGCTCACGTGATTTGATGCATTTCGCGACGTAATACCCGTTTTATCACAATATAGATCTTGATTATCGATCAGATCGTTTGACTGGGCGCCACCATTTTGTGTGAAGCAAACGCATGTGATACGAGAGGTGGAATCTGACTGGTCCATAGGAGAGGCTTAGAAGGGACATAACTGGTAATAGCCACTGGTGGCGCTACAATCGAGCCCAGTACTTCCAGCCTAGTTCGGCAAGGGTGGAAACTGGACTTTTATCGTCAGTTAACTCTCTTACTTTGGGAATATGAGAAAAGTGCAACCAATCAGTGTCTGGATTACCTGATATATTGTTACGAGTGGCTGGTAAGTGGACTTTAATTTCCCTTAATAAATTCTCGGATTGCTTGGTGTTATGGTGCTGGGAGACAAGTGTCCCAACGATAACGTATTCAGTTGTAGTTGGAAGTGTTCCAAAAAAGATGTCATAGTTTTCCTATTTCTTTATTAACCAGTTCAAGCTGAAGATATATTTTAATTTCCTGTTCCAACTTGATGATTCAACTCTATCCCTGCAGCTCTTGTGACATTGGTCATTTGCTCTGTGCAAATCATCAACTGTCTCATTAACAGCATGTCTGTTCTCTGAGATTTGTACTCGAGATGTATAGCTGTTCAGTCAGGAATCATTCTATCGTGACTACAGTCACACATGCCTGGAGAGATATGCTTGACTAAGGAAACAGGTCAAGTACGTTGTTTGTCCAAGGGGAGGGTGGACGATGCTATAAATTATTATCTTGTTGTAGACAGGCTGTTTACTGTTAAACTCTTAAGTACACAGAGTTGCTGCCTGACTACTCATTTTAGAAAGACATGATAACCCATCATGTGTCAATGTCCAGGGGCAATGTGGTGTAAACGTGCAGGCACGACGTGGTCCGAGGGGTATAAGTGACAGGAAACAGATGGGACTGGACTGAAGTACACTACGCAGGAAAAATATAAATTGTACCCTAAAATTCTTTAAAAGAATAATTATGCTTCATGCTGTTGAAAGGAAAATTGCCTGTCACCAAAATTACATTGTTGCAAGGTGTTTTCTTTTGAAAGAAATTCAAACTCATACTTTCAGATAAAGAAATTTGGTTCTTTAACCTGTAGATTTACTGGGGATGAGCTTGCATGTACAGCGTGATTGACAGTGGAACCACCCTGGCGGCCTAGCTGCAGATAAGCCGGCATTTTATGACACGAAGGATTCTTCATTTTTGTGACTTGTCAGTTTCATGATTTCACGGCATTCAACGCCAGCGTGTGAAAGAATGAGGCAGTTGTGGCCGTGACGCGGTGGTTCGTGAATGTTGTACTTAGTCGTGAGTGTTCAGAAATGGATTTCATCATGTTTAATAAGTTGTTGTGACCACGTGCCTGTGTTGTGACTGCAGTGAGTGAGTGAGTATGGTTTTACGCCGCTTTTAGCAATATTTCAGCAATATCACGGCGGGGGACACCAGAAATGGGCTTCACACATTGTCGGGAATCGAACCCGGGTCTTCGGCGTGACGAGCAAACGCTTTAACCACTAGGCTACCCGACCGCCCCTGTGACTGCAGTGAAGTTGGGACAGTTTTTGTGGCCTTTGGAAGTGTTTTCTGATTTACTTTCAAATCCTTCTGCTAAATCCCAACGTTGGTGGTATCGTATGTCCTCTGTTAGACGCCCGGCCTCTATTCTGTTGACGCTTTCACAGTGGCAACTCTCTACCTTATCGAATGCAGCCATTTTTTATGGATCGATATGTTGGCTATCGATGAATGGATGAATGAATGAATATTTGTTTCCGTTCAGTTTGATTGAAGCATACATCTGTACATATTTGAACACTTCCACAGCTATTTTCACCTTATCTGGATCTAAAATTGTACAGCCTTTGCTGGATCCCCTTCAAATGGAAGGATTATCTTAGCACATGTAAAACGCCTACGACTGTTGACAGCTTACAATCTGCCTTATCAACTAAAAAGTAATTCCTGGCCATCCATTCTTTGAAACAGACCTACCAAGGATGTCTCATCTAATCACTCATCTGTGACTCTACCGGTGAAGATCCGGGGTAGATTAGGTCTTCAGCAACCCATGCATGCCGTAAAATGCGATTATGCTTGTCGTAAGAGGCGACTAACGGGATCGGGTGGTCATGCTGGCTGACTTACTTGATGCATGTCGTCGTATCCCATCGATGATCGATGCTCATGATGTCAACCAAGTCAGCGAGCCTGTCCACACGATCCCGTTAGTCGCCTCTTACGGCAAGCATGGGTTGCAGAAGACCAATTCTACCCCTGATCTTCACGGGTTTGTTTCAAAAGTACATGCTCTGGAGTCTTGACGTCTTGTAGAATATAAAGGTAGCCATAGACTATTGCTTAATGTGTCAGCATTACCACCTGTCACAGTTATGTAGAATGTAGAATGCTTTACATATCCCATTAGACGTGGCCCATTCGACATATTTTTCTTGCTTTACAGGAAACATGAATCCAGGAGACACAGTTAGCAAAGTATCTCTCCATGTGGCCGACTACGCAGTTTTGGGCATTCTTTTGGCAGTGTCGCTGTCAATAGGCCTGTACTTTGGTATCAGGGGCCGGAAACGTCAGACAAGAGAGGAGTACCTTCTAGGGGGCAGACAGATGAGTCCTATCGCCGTGTCGTTGTCCATATTTGCCACGTACATGTCGGCGGTGTCGTTACTGGGCGTCCCGGCTGAAGTGTACAGTTACGGAACCATAAATTTCCTAATAACCATTGGTATTTGCCTGAGCTATATCATGGGCTACTTCACAGTGGTGCCATTGTTCTATGAGCTGCGTGTGACAAGTATCTACCAGGTAAGATATTAACTGGTGAGGTTATTTTTAATTCTGCATAAAATCTTATTGGTTAAGGTGAAGCGTTGGTATGTCATAGTCTTAAAGTGGTACAGTAACACAAAAGTATTACCTTTTATTTAGAAAAAAATATATTCATTAATTTTTTATTCGTATTTATCATCATCATCATCATCATCATCATCATCATCATCATCATAATATCATTATTATTATTATTATTATTATTATTATTATTATTATTATTATTATTATTATTATTTCGGTTATAATGGGAGGGCGTGGTTTGATTAACGTGGATGCTCTTCATGCCAGAATTATATTGTGCACTTTTGCACACATTTATTTGTCTGATGATCCTTTTGTGAAGCATGTCAAGACTCAGAATGAAAACAAGGCATTCCGAGCCAGGGATGTGGGACATAATATCAAGGTCAATGTTGGTTTTGTTGATGGTTCCTTACTGCTGGACAGAAATGAATGCCAACCAACCAAAGTGCTATATCAAATCGTCCCAGATTTAAGGAGAGCTTTTCAAGGGGCGGCAATCTGAACGACCTCTGCATCGAGTTTATGTGCATTGCTGCAGATCAGTCCTTCGCTTGGAGGAACTCGGCCGGCCTGAAAAGTGAAACAGAAGGCTTTCTGTTTCTGCTCAGGACCAGTCACGTCCCACTTAAAACCGTCAATGTGTGATTTTGGATCAAAATGTAAAAAATGAAATGTAAATTATGTAATGACTTTAATGAAACTGTCCAACACATTGTCAGCGGATGCCCAGCTTTGGCGCAAACACAGTATTTTAAGCGACATGATGGTGTAGCTCTATCCTTTTATCACCATCATGGTACGACCCTGAATATATAGGGTCACGGAAAATGATGAATACACTTATGTGATTGACAAGATTGATGAAAAACATGGCAAATATGCGGACCTCGCTTTCGAAATGTCACGCTTGCCTATTGTTCTCGGTGCCTTACGTTTGGTACGTCCCAATCTGTTGGCTGACATTTGGAGAGTACCGGGGTTTGCTGCCTGGAATACAGCTCTTCTGACAATCTGGGTAATGCAGAAAGCTGCAGCGTTGGGGAGTCTTCACATTCTCCAAAAGTTCTGGTTGGGTTCGACAAGGCAGCGCTTCCTGGGAGAAGTCCCATTCGCTGTCTGGGCTGCGTGTAGAGGGGGCAAGGGGCCTGAGCTGATGATGATCCTAACCAGCCTAGGCTGTGCCAGGATAACCCAAACCCTCTTTGATGCATTTTACATTTTAATCTGTACGTAGAAAATAATAACGATTGACTGTTTGTCAAGCAATTGCTTTTGCATTGCCACCGCCACAAACACTCTGTGCTCTCACGATTTCACGTACAGATAATGATTGTAATTTATTTATAAATAATAATTGTTGATCGCATTTATTTAGTGCGCATTAGAGTCTACATTTGGCCTGACGTATTATTTTCGAGTTTTATTTGTTTTAGAGTATTTAAGAAACCATATAAATTGTAATTTGTGATTTTATGTTGATGCATCCGTGTGTGAAAACAATTCAGTGAACAGATCTGTGTAAAATAACTCGGTGAATAGATCCTGATAAAATAACTTTGTCCTTTTGAAATCTCTGAATAAGATTTTAAAACTCATACACGTCTATGTCCATTGCACGCATTGGGTAAACGGCCTGCCCAGTGCACGCATTGGGTAAACGGCCTGCCCAGGGCACGCAATGGGCAAACGGCCTGTCCAGTGCACGCAATGGGTAAAGGGCCTGTCCAGTGCACGCAATGGGTAAAGGGCCTGCCCAGTGCACGCAATGGCTAAACGGCCTGCCCAGTGCACGCGATGGGTAAACGGCCTGCCCAGTGCACGCAATGGGTAAACGGCCTGCCCAGTGCACGCAATGGCTAAACGGCCTGTCCAGTGCACGCAATGGGTAAACAGCCTGCCCAGTGCACGCAGTGGGTAAACGGCCTGCCCAGGGCACGCAATGGGTAAACGGCCTGTCCAGTGCACGCAATGGGTAAACGGCCTGTCCAGTGCACGCAATCGGTAAACGGCCTGTCCAGTGCACGCAATGGGTAAACGGCCTGTCCAGTGCACGCATTGGGCAGTTGCACAGATTGGTTTCTTTGAACGTGTACATCGCGTCCTACATATAAATTAATAAACCACTAATCAGTGTAGTTTAAAGAAAACCACATATGTATAGATTACATAAACAGACTATAATTTATCCTAATATTAATATTTTTCAGTACTTTGAAATGCGGTTCAAATCTTATGCAGTGCGAATGATAGGAGTTGTCCTAGGAATTCTCGTTCAGGTGAGAATCTTAAACTTATCTGGTATCAATCCAATGCAAGTAAATATTTATGTAAATGTTCAGCTTAATCTTGACTGTTATAATATATCAATACCTTATATGACTTTATAATATAATATATCAACGCAAGTCTATTAAAAGGAACACAGTACCTCGTTTCGTCTATAAAGCTAAATAAACTGTATTGAATCAAATGTTTAATGAAATTATCTCTTACAGATAATGTACACCACAGTCACATTGTTGTCCCCAGCCTTCGCTATGCAAGCAGGTCTGTATATGTTGAATGATTGAGTTGTGTCATGCGCCGAGTTGCGCATGCCGCTTTTGTGAGAGAGAAAAGCCCGAAATTATAAAGGTCTTCAAAATTTACCACTTCAGTGAAACCCAAGAGCACGGTTATAGTGCTGACAACCCCAATATTCTAACATGGCCAAATCTGGAATTTCTACCATATCATGTCACATCCAAGGGACGCAACTGTGCACAGTGAATTGGTGCGCTCTAGACGACTGATCCAAGAATAACACTTTCTGTATAACGGTACCGTAATAATTGGCCAGTTGAGCAACCATACCCCTTGTTGATAGACGTGGTGTAATAACTGTGCTAAATTCTTAAGACAGCATTATAACTCTCCTAGGTGATATCTTAGACGCCATCCTAACGAATCTACATTAATATCTTTCAATTGTGTTCCTCCTTTGAGAGAAACAAATTATATATTCTGTAGCAGTGACCGAAAAGTATATTGGTCCGTTGTTATTTTCAAATTCACATTATATATTCCAGCTATTGGGCTCCCCCTTTGGGTATCAGCAGTTGTCATCGGTGGTATTGGCACGGTGTATACATCTCTGGTGAGTTTGTTGTATGCACCATCAGCAATGCCCTGCTTAAAGTCATGCTAGCATGTGGTACCTTCAGAATCAGGAATGAGAATATGGCAAAATTTGGTTTTAAAAACTTATGTAATATAAAAGTGGTAAACAAACAAATTATGAAAACAAAACCAGAGTAGTAATATGTTTTCTCTAAAATGACTTCCTGAAACATTTCTTATTATTTTCAGAGAACATGGGGTTGACACAATCATAGTGTTATACATGATACTGTTCACATTGACATAAAGTTATTAATATGTTTTCATAAATAATCCTTTCAAAGTAATAGGTATATTGTTGTTATGTTAGTTTATAATGAAGTAGATCTGATGAGACATCCAGATATTGTTGAAAATAACTAACTAACGTGTTTAGTGTGTTTGTAACTTTAACCATACTTCTCTAGAAGAGTTACCTCCCTAATGATAATATGCTTACTTCTGTAGCCTGACACGTCAATTATTCACACTGTCCAAAAATGATAATATCTCGCCACACGGAAATTGGGTCAACGTTTCGACCCTGTGCTGTAGGCTGTCCCAGGGCCTCTTGACAGACAGTCCGCTCCACGGAAATGGGTAAACGTTTACCCCATAGCGATAATCTGTATGAGGAAATTGGTCGAACAGAGCTAGACTGGTACCCTGCCTTTCGCCTCCTAGCGGCTGCAGGGGAGAAGCGGAAGCGTTCTAGGGCTAGAAAATCACGTGGCTCCCTGTTATGATTATAACATAAACATGTTTAGTGTAATAATGAACAGTTTTCATTATTACTTATATATTATGTATGTATACATATCATTATACACATGTGAGATTACACAAAGATTCTTTTAAAAGTTTGGTTCCATCTTTCCAACGATTACTCGTCCCCATGCCCCCGTGTAATTTTCTCAAACCCATATTAACCAATAAACCGGGACTTCTCGTATTAAGACACACACTCTCTTACGCTCATGGGCCTAAAAACCAGTACTTAACCCCATGGGCTTAATCAAAAAATAAATAACGAGTGGGAGTTGTTTATCGTACACTCAAACACTACAGGGAGAATAAACCATGAGGGGCGTACAATAAAACACTGCAGGGAGAATAAACCATGAGGGGCGTACAATAAAACACTGCAGGGAGAATAAACCATGAGGGGCGTACAATAAAACACTGCAGGGAGAATGAACCATGAGGGGCGTACAATACAACACTGCAGGGGGAATAAACCATGAGGGGCGTACAATACAACACTGCAGGGGGAATAAACCATGAGGGGCGTACAATACAACACTGCAGGGGGAATAAACCATGAGGGGCGTACAATAAAACACTGCAGGGAGAATAAACCATGAGGGGCGTACAATACAACACGGCAGGGGGAATAAACCATGAGGGGCGTACAATACAACACTGCAGGGAGAATGAACCATTAGGGGCGTACAATACAACACTGCAGGGGGAATAAACCATGAGGGGCATACAATACAACACTGCAGGGAGAATAAACCATGAGGGGCGTACAATACAACACTGCAGGGGGAATGAACCATTAGGGGCGTACAATACAACACTGCAGGGGGAATAAACCATGAGGGGCGTACAATACAACACTGCAGGAAGAATGAACCATGAGGGGCGTACAATACAACACTGCAGGGGGAATAAACCATGAGGGGCGTACAATACAACACTGCAGGGGGAATAAACCATGAGGGGCGTACAATACAACACTGCAGGGAGAATGAACCATGAGGGGCGTACAATACAACACTGCAGGGGGAATAAACCGTGAGGGGCGTACAATACAACACTGCAGGGAGAATGAACCATGAGGGGCGTACAATACAACACTGCAGGGAGAATAAACTATGAGGGGCGTACAATACAACACTGCAGGGAGAATGAACCATGAGGGGCGTACAATACAACACGGCAGGGAGAATGAACCATGAGGGGCGTACAATACAACACTGCAGGGAGAATAAACCATGAGGGGCGTACAATAAAACACTGCAGGGAGAATGAACCATGAGGAGCGTACAATACAACACTGCAGGGGGAATAAACCATGAGGGGCGTACAATACAACACTGCAGGGAGAATAAACCATGAGGGGCGTACAATAAAACACTGCAGGGAGAATGAACCATGAGGGGCGCACACGTTTATTTCTTACATGAGATTTCAACATCATGTACAACCTCTCTAAGGATGATGATAAAAGGTACAAGCTTTGATAATATTTACCCGTATTGTAATAGTGATGACTCCCTCAATGGAACCCGACCTCGGCAATGACGGACAAGATACTTTCATGCACAGGTGGATATTTCCCGCGTCACGTCGATAACCTGTACCTTTCCCCCCAATACCAATTGTCACATCTCACCCGCTTTTGGATGCGATCGTTCGGCCATCGCGTTTATCTGCGATGTCCAGCTACATCTATAGGGGAACACCTCACTAGAAAACTTCCCTATCAAAAATAACGTCGTCAAACATACGACGTCATCAGGTTGCGAGCACATGTTTGATCTCCAGAAATGACGTCATGATAGAACTACGCTTCGTTCTTCATTGTTCTTTGCGATTTATCGCGTAGCTATCTTATATATTCGAATATTACTTTTGGAGTGCTCCACTTTAAATTGCAATTCTTAATCTGACACCACTTCACCTATTATTTCAGGGAGGCCTAAAAAGTGTCATCTGGGCAGATGTTTTTCAAACAGTAGTCATATACTTGGGTTTGATTGCAGTTTTCATAAAGGTACGTCCTGATATGAAACAGCATTATGTATGTGCTGTGGTTCTGAAGACATGACATGTATTTCATGCGAGAAAAATATAATATTATATGTATCTTTGAACACAACTGGTATTAATTTGTACAATGAACATGATTAAGCATTGCGTGTTGGATTAAGCTTTGCGAGATGGATTTAACGTCGCTTTTAACAGTTATATAACGGTGTGGCATCTTGTTGTGGGAGGATAACCCAGTTCGATGCAGGTCTCAGAAGTTTACCGCTCTGGTGAACCCACGATCCCAGGTAGGGGGAACAAACCTAGAAACATGATCGGGGTTCGAACCCACGATCAAAAGGTTTCTGGCGTGCCCAAGGGACGCAACTCTGCACACCGAATTGCGTCGCCTTAGACCGACAGGGCCACCCGTTTCCCCACTTAAGTTGTTATTCTCGGTTTCAAACATTAGTACTCACCACCAACGAGAACTGATAAATTACAACTCAACTTGCTATAGCCTACCCAATATATGACTGACACTATTGAACGTGATGCTATGTTTCAGGGTATTGTAGACATCGGAGACCCATCAAAGATATCGGAGCTAAATATCATTGGAGGAAGAGTGCAGTTTGAGTGAGTTGTGTTCCATGTACAAGCATAGGATACCTATTCTGTCAAGGGACTATATAGATAGCATGTTACTATACAATAAAACCTGATGCTATACATGTATACTTAATGATGTTCATGTATACTTCATGATATACATGTATACTTCATGATATACATGTATACTTCATGATATACATGTATATACCTAATTATATACATATATACTTAACGATATACATGTATACTTCATGATATACATGTATACCTAATGACATACATATATACTTAATAATATGCAAGTATACTTCATGATATTCATGTATACTTCATGATATACATGTATACCTAATTATATACATATATACTTAACGATATACATGTATACTTCATGATATACATGTATACCTAATTATATACATATATACTTAATAATATACAAGTATACTTCATGATATACATGTATACCTAATGATATACATATATACTTAATAATATACATGCATACCTAATGATATACATATATACTTAATGATATACATGTATACCCAATGCTTCAACGTACACATATCACTATACATGTCCACTATACATGTCCACCTCGTGCTATATGTATCTGTCCAGATATGCCAAGGAATATCATGCAGCGATTTGATATCACGTTTTGTTTTATTTCAATAAATCGAAAGACCGTTTCGGCAATATTAAGAAATCCACTGAGTCCATTGTCCGAATGGCGTCTTAATGTATAGGCATATACGCCTCTGGCAGCGAAAGACAAGACAAGAAAATGATGTCAGGGTAAGGTTATAGTTGAACGGTATTTGCTCAGGAACTCCCCATGGGTCATTCATTATCTTGCAATTAGTATACTGATGTCGTAATTTGAGATTGCAATTATTGGCGGAGCATAAACAGGAATAATTGCTCAAACCCAGATTGGTTGGGTTTTTTTTGTTTTACGCCGCACTCTGCAATATTCAAGCTATATGACGGCGGTCTGTAAATAATCGAGTCTGGACCAGACAATCCAGTGATTGAAATTATGAGCATCGATCCACGCAATTAGGATCGATGACCGTGCATCAACCAAGTCAGCGAGCCTGACCACCCGATCCCGATAGTCGTCTTTTACGGCAAGCATGGGTTGCTGAAGACCTATTCTACCCCGGATCTTCACGGGTCCTCAACCCCAGAAAGGGATAAGAAAAATCAAAAGGTCTTGCAACTAAAACCAGATAGCAGCCGATCTTCCGTTTATGTGACCTTTGTTTGTACCAAGAACTTACTAGTTATGCAACATTTGACTGTTTTTGGTGTTTCATATTTCAGAACGAGTGCTGACCCACGTATTAGCTACACCGTATGGAGTGTGACACTTGGTAGTGCATTCTCCTTCTTCTCCTACACCTTCGGCCAGGCAACGATACAGAGGACGGGGGCAGTCGGGAGTCTCAGAAAAGCAAAGCTGTGAGTATTGTACTTGTGTAGGGAGCTGAGAATGCAGAGGGAATATTCTACCAAGGGAGCTGAGAATTCAAAGGGGATGTGCACTGATCCGTTGATCCGTTGTACGCGCCCGCGGCATGCGTTTTGTTTGTTGTTGACGCCGCAGTAGTATCCCAACTTTTCCACGACTGTCTCAACGTAATCGTGTCTTGACCAGACATTGATTGAAATAATGGGCGATCCTTGCACACAACCTGACATGCTTTCGTAGTATTGCAAATATGTCTGACGATAAATGTTTTCCAATATATGTCCATGTGTTGTTTTTCATTGATCGACTAACATTATTTTCACCACTATTTTGCCTTTTACGTGCAATGGAATCTGTTTGGGCAGACAATCATGACTGATTATTCTCCGGCCTTGACGGTTTGTATTTAAGATATGCTAACGTATGTTAAATGTGCTACTTGCAACTGCTGTGATATTTGATTTCAATTTATTCCCATAAACCAACACCCTGACTATTGCTGAAGATGGATTTGGGGGACACACGCTCAAAGCAGTTCACTCGTTCTCTGTTTTCTATTTTTGAATAAAACAGTGGTATTCTGATATGCATTAGCAAACATTTGTTGAACTAGTCCTTAAATACATGTCTCTTACAGGGCGTATCTGATGAATATTCCAATGCTAGTGCCATTCTTCCTGATCTTGAACTTTACTGGCATGTTGATCTACGCTTACTTTCATTCCATCCATTGTGATCCTAAGGAAGCTGGATTCATATCTAATGTCAACCAGGTGAGTTAGAAGTACCGTTGAGTTTTCATATTTAATGTTAGAATAACAGGTTTGAATGATGTTATGAACATGATCTACGTGTATATATACCATCACTAAAACGTGTTGCTAATGAAAGGTCACTGTATCAATTATAATGTGTCATTTTTGCTCCATAGGACTAAGGGATCGACAATAAGTTAAAATATATAAAAAAAATTATATTTTTTTTACATTTTTTAAAATTTATTTATTTTATTATTTATTTATTTAAGAAATAGCCTGCTACAAAAAAAACATTGATGCAAGGTAAATAAATCAGGCCCATAGTCTTACATAAAAACATCTGGTTTTGCAGCTGAAGTTGAAAAACTATATAATCTCTATACAAAATCGTTCTGGTTTGGTTGTTATACGCCACACTCGGCGATATTCCAGCTACATGACGGCGTACTATCAGAAATCAAATCTGGACCAGAAAATCTAATTGACCTCAAATTGAGATACGACCATATTTTGCATCACCGAGCCCGGCCACCAGAGCCCTTCAGTCACCTCTAACGCCAAGCATATGTTGCTGTTGACCTACGTTCTTACCCGGCACCCCAACGGGTACCTAGTACCCCATTTACGTCGGGTACTGGCAGGTCAACAACAAGAACCATCCTTTAACGTGTTTTAGTATGAACCACGGACCTTCCACTCTCTGGTCAAACGCTCTATTCACAAGAACACGGGGGCCGTCCCATATTTGTGTGTGTAATCTATGAACACTAATTGAAATTTGATGAAAGGTTTTAACTTTTTGATATGATTGTGCTGTTTTTTTCACAGATAGTTCCCTACTATGTATTCCACATCTTGAGGTCAGTGCCTGGATTATCTGGACTCTACATGGCAACTCTCTTCAGTGGAAGTTTGAGGTACATCAAATGATTATCTTGGTGGAATATGGAAACAAAACTAGTTCATGATGAACAAGATGAACTGTTATTCACTTAATAGGAAAATGCGTAGGAATTGGGAGGTATTTCGTTCATGCTAATTTCAGTACATCTACAGTGAGTGAGTGAGTGAGAGTTTTTCGGAGACTTTTAGTTTCTTTCAAAGAATGTCTTTAGGCATTGTACCAGAACAGAACAATATTCACTCAAGGCTACATAGCACACTCAGCATAATGAAGTAGTTATCAGAGGTCAGGATACAGGTATGTGGCGGAAGATTACAACTTATTAATTATTTGACAGCAAAATCTTGAAAGTTTCTTTATTATTATGTTATTTTCACTTTTAAATAAATTTATCACATTGAACATAGAAAGGCTCTTTAGAAAGTATGGTGACAATATATTCTTTCTTACAGCTACAGCATATTCGCAAACAAATAAATAGTGATACTAGTTCCCACTATCACTAGATTGGCATAAGAAACATTTTGTCTCTAACAGAAGTATATGGTTCCACCGACTAAACTCAACTGGTAGTCGGTGGTTTGAAAATCTCAATTGTATTGCAGTAAAAATACCTTTATTGGGCAGATTTTGTAAATACAATTCATTTTCAATATAGTTTTCTTGATTATGGTATAGAATACCCTTACATGAGGAGTCTGTGTCAGATCTCCAGTTTGGAATATATTGGTCTTCAAGACAATTTTTAAAATTTTAAATTTGAGGTGATTTGTTTTTTTCTATTGCGGGAGAAGTCCAAATGTAGTTATTACCTGTCTGGATGAGAATATTATGAATACAAGTGATGGAATTATTTTCTGGTTTATCATTCATATTTTACAACAAAATAATCTAGTAACCTACTTTGTACATGAGACAAGAGAGTTTTGTTGGTTTGCTATTTAAAAGCAGGTGGTCATTTTAGAGCACACATAAATATAAAAGGGTTTTCTTCCACTTTCACCATACAACATACGGGGGAATAGAAGCCGCCTCTCTAACAACCATGTTGTGAAATTACCCTTCAATTCAGATTCAATGGATGGGTGTTGTGTCATCATCCAGTGATGTATCTTGTGTTCACAGTTGACAAGATACAGGTCATTTAATACACAAATGTTTGTATGGATAGAACAGCAATGATTAGAAGAACTTAAATTTCTTATTATAACTTTTTGTTCGCCTTACTTTAAGGTATCGGATTTGAGTAAAAATATCTGTGTCGATTTGCCAGATATGAACTTAAAACAAAATAGAGTTGTCGAGAGGCACCATGCCCAAAGTAGGGAAATTCTGTCAAACTACTATTATTAATTATAACCATACTGCTATTGGGATACACGTTGTAAATATATGACAATTCTGGCGGTCTGTAAATAATCGAGTCTGGACCAGACAATCCAGTGATTGCTGTCAAGAACATCGATCCACGCATTTGGGATACAATGACAAACATTGACCAAGGCAGCGAGCCTGACCACCCGATCCCGTTACCGCCTCTTACGACAAGCATTGTCGCCTTTTACAGCAAGCAAGGGTTGCTGAAGACCTATTCTACCCCGGATCTTTATGAGTCTAAGACAATTTGAATCGTAATGCTTTTATGTTACCAGCACTGCATCTTCCTTGATTAACGCCTTGTCTGCCAACACTGTAGAGGACCTTCTGAAGTATCCAGTCAGCAGGTTCAGCTTGACAGAGAAACAGACAACCATCGTTGCTAAATTATCAGGTTAGTCAACAACGGTTTTAATTTTTGTTCTCGTGGAGAACACTTTTGTTTTTTTTCTGGTCAAAGTGCTTTTATTAAGTATACCGATGTTAAGTATATGGATATTTGTGGTGAAAGGTGATGATAGTACTTTGGACGTTAATCACCAGTGCAGCCTGCTGCCGACTGCGGCTCTAAAGTCAACAGTGCACAGGGTATTGTTACGAGTGGATCCACTAAACAGTTTCCATACATAACAAGGAGAGATCACACAACATTTAAAAAACAATTTAATACTGGCAGTCTAGTCAAGCTTCATATTATTCACAAACAGCAATAGCAAGTATCAATCAAAAACAGTCTTACTTTATGCTGAATATTCTACCACTTCCGAACAGGATCGAGTGAATGTTTTATATAATCCATAATTCAAGTTCACACATTGCCGACATGGCATACAGAATTAAAGTTTCAAATCTTGCCGACATGGCATGTCAGTTAACACCTCAACCCGACCTGGGAACTGACCACTTGATCTACATGTCGAGCATTAGCCAAGCCACAATTGCATAACATCAGCCTTTACTTGGCTGTGAGCTTACCAGGGCTTACATATAGACAATGTGAAGTGAAGTGTGTAATTGGTCAGTGTTGATCACTGGCAATCTGTACACAAGTAACATAATATAAAAAAAGGTAGGAATATACATTAAATGAAAACTAAGTACATTTAATATATTCTTCATGAAAAGTAAATATGTATAATGGATTCTCATAACAGTACCGAGGGAGTGACGTCACGCTCACATAGCTCGCCGGCATGCTACAGCATAAAATCGGGTCACATAACCAGTCGTCAATCAGCTGTGTGAACAAATGTTTCTGAAAGACTTAACCTGTAGTCTATGCAGTTTGTTCTTTTCATTTCTACTTTCATCATGCTAGCTGAAGGATGGTAGGAGCATTTTTCTGGTACATATTTCATTCACGGACACGTGAAGATTCCGGGATAGAATAGGTCTTCAGCAACCCATACTTGCCGTAAAAGGCGACTATGCTTGTCGTAAAAGGCGACTAACGGGATCGGGTGGTCAGGCTCGCTGACTTGGTTGATGCATGTCATCGATCCCAATGGCGTGGATCGATGCTCATGACATTAATCACTGGGTTGTCTGGTCCAGACTCGATTATTTACAGACCGCCGTCATATAGCTGGAATGTTGCTGAGTGCGGCGTAAAACAACAAACCAACAAACCAACAACCAACCAACACCAAGCGTCCTTTTCTGGACCCATTAAACTTTATCCCATTTTCGAAAAGCAGGACAAAGTTGATCGGACTACATCACATAAAGAAGTGGCTTGCTTCACATTGCCTATTCACATTGAGTTATAGACTCAAGCGGAACAGAGTGGTGGCTGCAGCTATAGGTTTGAATTCTCGGTGGGATATGGACTTTACAGATGTGTCTAATGTAGCCAGGCCCGTGAAGATCCGGGGTAGAATAGGTGTTCAGCAACCCCTGCTTGCCGTAAAAGGCGACTATGCTTGTCGTAAAAGTAGACTAACGGGATCGGGTGGTCAGGCTCGCTGACTTGGTTGATGCATGTCATCGATCTCAATTGCGTGGATCGATGCTCATGATTTCAATCACTGGATTGTCTGGTCCAGACTCGATTATTTATAGACCGCCATCATATAGCTGTAATACTGCTGAGTGAGGCGTTAAACAAACAAACAAACACACAATGTATTTTCAAGAAATCTATGAGTAGAAACCATTCAAATCAAAACCCAAGATTCTAGAAGTCCCGAGAACAAATTAACAGCTGCTCACCTTTGCCCAGGATCATCAGGTCAGATAAAGTCCGTGGATTCAACAATGTAAAAGTGAAAATCTATTAACAATGTGAAGGCGTCACCTATGTGACTATGCTGAACGTGTGATGTGTACCCCCAACATTACCATGTACACCTATTTCACCTACAAGCAAATGTATCACTTCCTGGATGTACAACAAGATCTGGCCAAAGACCACACAGGCAACTCAGATCAACCAGAGATCACCATCCAACATTAATGCAGAGCAAGAAGATTTTGTTGAGAGAACAATACACTGATACCTTAATATCCAGGCTGCAGTGGCGTTTAACGCCGAAAATATTGTCATCATTTCGTTTCGTTTCAAGCGATCTAGTGTGATCGTTTAGCATGGGTTAGATATGTCAATCAACTTCTATTTCCTTATGGATTTGGGCATGTTTGGATTTAGTGGGAGACTAAACACTGTATATAATAGAGTTTGTCAAAAGAGTAAAAGACAGTAATCAGCAGGATCTGTGTGGTAAAGTATCTGAATCCAACAAATTAGTCATGTACAGTAAATTACGGTTATAACGAACACGCTTATAACGAACTGACGGATATAACGAACTAACTTTTTAGTCCCGACTATTTGCTGTAGTTATGCTGTATATATGCTTATAACGAACTACGGTTATAACGAACTAAAAATAGTAGTCCCTTTGAGTTCGTTATAACCGTAGTTTACCGTATAAAGAACGTAAATCTCTGTGAACTGTTAAAAAAATAAGTCTACACTACCATGTCGAGAATACAGACGTTTATTTTGTTTGTTCAGTGTCGTGAGAGAGTTGGGTTTAACGCCGCTATTAACAGTATTCCAGTTATATCACGGCGTGTAAGCTTAATGTGGGAGGAAAGCCCGAAGTGATGCAGGTCTCAGACGTTTACCACTTCGTTGCTCAGAGTAGGAGACTTTGCAATAATGGTAAACGTAGGTAGGTGATATGGTTTTGAAATTAAATGCGAAAGACTGTTATGTAATGTGCAGGTCGGAGAAGAAATTTTAATCTATTTGTTCATACGCCCGTGCTTTAATATATTGAGACAAAACTTCATGCCACATTATTATGTTAAATACCAAGATGTGCAACTCACTGTTATCATTCCATCAACAAAATGTTATAATTAAATATGTAAAGGAGGCTTGAGCTACAAGTGAGTGAGTGAGTGAGTTGGGTTTAACGCCGCTTTTAACATTATTCCAGTTATATCACGGCGTGTCAGCTTAATGTGGGAGGAAAGCCCGAAGTGATGCAGGTCTCAGACGTTTACCACTTCGGTGAAACCCACGAGCACGGGTATGGTGCTGACAAACCTAGATACATAATCGGGGCGAACCGGGATTCGAACCCACAATCATAGGTTTCTGGCGTGTCCAAGGGACGCAACTCTGCACAGCGGATCGCGGCGCCTTAGACGACTGGGCCACCCGTGCCCCCCTTGAGCTACAAGGAATGCATTGTTACTGAAAATATTATACTATCTGTGCATGTCATCCGTCACATTCTGTCGCAATCATATGATATTTAAATACCATATTTTAACGTGGGACAACGGCCTTTCTGTTGAAATTCACCCTCTCAGCTTCTAGCTAAAAATACTGATGACTAGTTGTCTGGCAATTGAAAGTAGTGGTTGTCCTTAATACAGAGACATTATACAATAACCCATAGAGCTAGACTACATATGAGCAACGAATTGTGATGCATCGTCTTTTACCAATATATCCACTACATCATGACGACGTCATAATTGTACAGACTGAAGATTTCGAAGTTAATCTTGTTATTCCTGACACTCTTGCATAGGATCTGTGATTCTTTTCCTTCAGGATGCTTTTATGGAGCGTTAACGGTAGGATTGGTTTATGCTGCCAAGTCTTTCCCGGGAACTGTTGTGAGGGTATGGGCATGTTGTTGTTTTTATTGCCTTTTTTGCTTAAAAAAAACACATTACTCTATAATCATTTTCAATATAGATTATATGTAAGATTTTTTTTAAGCGAACACAGCATATCCTCTTTATTGCCAGCCTATACTTCATCATGTTCCTTTCGTTATATTCTGATCCGTGAAGAGGTCTTCAGCAACCCATGCTTGCCGTAAAAGGCGACTATGCTTGTCGTAATAGGCGAATAACGGGATCGGGTGGTCAAGCTCGCTGACTTGGTTGATGCATGTCATCGTGTCCCAATTGCGTAGGTCGATGGTCATGATGTCAATCACTGGATTGTCTGGTTCAGACTCGATTATTTACAGACCACCGTCATATAGCTGTTATATTGCTGACTGCGACGTTAAACACCAAAGAAACAAACAAACACATCGTTATATTCTACCTGTAGCCTCATGATTCTGTTTTCAGACGGTCATTTCTGTGGTGGGAGCTTGTGGAGGTCCGGTGACGGGCATGTTCTGTCTTGGTGCTAGTGTTCCACGGGCAAACAAATATGTACGTTGGGGTCATGTCAATCATAACATGCTATCATATATGTTAGATACATGAGCGAAAATGAAAATAGAGAATGTAAGAGTTTATCACATAAAAGGTCAAAACTGCTTCTGATTCTCACCTGATTACAAGCATTAGATTCGGGGTAGAATAGGTCTTCAGCAACCCATGCTTGCCGTAAAAGGCGACTATGCTTGTCGTAAAAGGCGACTATCGGGATCGGGTGGTCAGGCTCGCTGACTTGGTTGATACATGTCATCGATCCCAATTGCGTGGATCGTTGCTCATGATGTTAATCACTGGATTGTCTGGTCCAGACTCGATTATTTACAGACCGCCGTCATATAGCTGGAATATTGCTGAGTGCGGCGTTAATCAAAAAACCAACAAACCAACAAACCAACTACAAGCATTCTTATTTCATAATGCTTGTAGTTTCGTATGGACACAGGGTCACTGTACCCAGTCATCTGATACGGTTCAATTAGCTCTGTAGTTTGTGTTCCGCGTGGGGATCGTAGGTTCGAATCCCAGTTTTACCGTGATTATAATTCTTGTATTGTTTGTACCATACCCGTGCTTTCGTCAAATTTATTAACGTCTAAGATCTGCACCACCTGGTACTTCTCACCCACATCAATCTGAGACCATGTGATATAACTGAAATACTGTTCAAAGCGTCGTCAAATTGTGTGTGGATGTATCGTTTCCAATAGACATCGTAACGAAAATCTCACACACGTCAGTGATGCCATCTAAAACAGGGGTCCCGTGGGTATTATGGGTTCGAATTGGTTCCCACCAACATATGCTGGTAAGGGGAGACGCAGAGGATCGGGTGGTCAGGCTCGGAGGTCATAATATACATCAGTAGTTTGTCTGATCCAGACTCGAGCATGTTCAGGACCCTACAAGGTGGAATACTGCTGACCGGCGTAAAATAATGAAAATACAAATCTATGAACATGTTCCTGGGTGCATATGTGTTGCATCAGTTGCAGGAGGTATAAACGAATATGTGGAGCGGTGAGATAGCCGAGTTTCTCACGCCGAAAGCCAGCGTTCCATTTCAAATAAGGTACGACGTGGGAAACCCTTATCTGGCCCCGCCTTCCGTGACAGTACTGGAGTATTGCTAATGACGGAGAAAAACCCAACTCACTCACTATATAAAGACTTATTCCGATCTTACCAACAGCATTTTGGGTTCCCTGTCAGTCAACGTCCACAGTTTGCGTACAAGGTTGATAAATATGTGTTTGTTTTTAACGCCGTACTCAGCAATATTCTAGGTTAATGACGACGGTCTGAAAATGATGGAATATGGACCAGACAATCCAGTGATTAACCACCCGATCCCGTTAGTCGCCTCCGAAGACAAGCATTGCTAGCTGAAAACCAATTCTACTCCGAATCTTCACGGGGGATTGATAAATGTAATTTTAGAGGTTAGCTAAGTCAATCTTCAACATCTTTCTTCCCTCCTCAGGGCGCCCTGTCCGGGGGTCTCGCTGCGCTGACTGTCAACTTATGGCTGACTATAGGAAGCAGACTGTATGGAACCCCGACAACCCATCTCCCACCTGCACCCTCAGACAACTGTGATGCAATCTCTCCTTTTAATTCAACCCACCCTGCCTTCAATAAGACATCAGTTGTGATGGAAACGCACTTTTCGCCTGGAGCAAGGTTAATATGTTTAAGGGTATCACCATGACGACGGATGCTTATTAGAATAAACCTAATAGAATATATACATGGCCATACCCAGATTCATGTGACACATTTGTAGATGTAACAAGTATGGTCTTTTTACAGCTCTGCTCCACCTTCGTCGATATACGACACCTCACACTACTGGTACGGAGTGTTCGCAATGGTCATTGTGATGGTTTTGGGTTCAGTAGTCAGTTACTGCACAGGTAATTATCTTGTATCATTGCATACCCGTCAAAATCCGGGTTAGAATAGGTCTTTAAAAACCCATGCTTGTCGTGAGAGGCGATTACGGGATCGGTTGGTCAGGCTCGCTGACTTGGTCGATCCATCTCATCATGTCCATATTGCATGGATCGATGCTCATGATAGCGCTCTTTGGATTGTCTGGCCCAGACTCGATTATTTAAAGCCATGCGATATAGCTGGAATAATGCTGAGTTCGACGTTAAGGAACAGAAAACAAAAAAAGAACACCCTTACACTTAGCTTATTGTTGCTATTGGAAATTCCCAAGTACGTCCTCTTCTGTCTTAGTCAGTAAATCGGCTCTTCGATTAACAATGAGTTTATCATAAATATAGCATCCCCGTGTGATATCAGCTGTTCAGTGTGTTTGCTCAAAAGACACTCCACCATGGCGCAATGAGTTTTCTCAACCACGCCGTTAAAACAGATGTTAGAAACTTGATACCTTATGTGCCTTCTGTATATCATTCTGATATGTGATTGAATATTAAAGGTCAAGGTCTCTCGGTATGAACTAGGTGTCAAGGCCGTTAGTACACATGTATGAACTATTGGAATTTGAGTATACGTGATCTCTACTGCAGGGTCTCGTTCTTGTCAACTTTTGTGTGACCTCCGTTTCAGATCAGGTTCTCTACAGGACAAATCATGGAACATAGCCTTTCTTGCTGTGCTTATAAATTCCTTATCTGGGTTGTTAGAAACATGGCTCTCCAATTTTTCAAAGTTGTACTTTAGTTGTTAAGGCTGCATTAGAGATGATATCATATCCTTATAGACAGATATTGGTTACGTCAGCTGTCATTATATTCGGTAAAGTAATGATTCATGATTCATGTTTCTGGTGAGAATGAATTGGAACATTCAGGAAAACATAGAGGTAGGGCTGCTCCTGATTTTGCATGTAATGTGAATCCCTTTATGAATTTATCATCTCGAAAACAACACATTTTCTAGAAGGGATTCATATTTTAAATGGTACGAAATAAATATCCGTTCACTCCTTTCAATTAAACTAAAAATCCCGAAGACGTCAAGTTAGAATTTCTCATTGAACATACAGTATTAAAATAGTTCAGTTAGTTACAAACATATATGACCCGTGAAGATTCCGGGGTAGAATAGGTCTTCAGCAACCCATGCTTGCCGTAAAAGGTGACTATGCTTGTTGTAAAAGGCGACTAACGGGATCGGGTGGTCAGGCTCGCTGACTTGGTTGATGCATGTCATCGATCCTAATTGCGTGGATCGATGTTCGTGAGATTAATCACTGGATTGTCTGGTCCAGACTCGATTATTTACAGACCGCCGTCATATAGCTGGAATATTGCTGAGTGCAACAAACCAAACCAAACCAAAAAATACAAACATATATACAAGACGTGTTTTCAGTTCGGTTACGGTATGCTAAATCACTGGAATCATATGATTGTGCCGTTTGCTTCAGGGTCTCTTGATTCCGGCACTGACGATCCCACTCTTCTGTTCCCCTTTGCACGGCGACTGTGGCGGATGAAGGGCGCCTCCAACAAGGACAACAACACAATGAGCATAACGGTAGGACATGTTTTAGCTTGAAGGTCACAGAGGTTAAAATAGTGTTTATAAGTAAGCACTGTTAATGAATTCTATCCTATGTCGTAAAGTAAAGTGCGCGAGAGTTTAACGCCGTTTTGAACAATATTCCAGTTATATCACCACGTGTCAACTTAATGTAGGGGGAACGCCCGAAGTGATGCGGGACATTTAAAGCAGGACTTGGTCGCTTACCACTTTGTTGAAACCAACGAACACGGGTACGGTGCTGACAAACATAGAAACATCAGGCGAAACATGATTCCAACCCTCGATCATAGGTTTTCTGGCGTTTCAAAGGGATGCAATCCTTAGATTGCTGCGCCACTCGTTCCCCCAAACCCTAACATTTTGTATTACAGTACATTAAGGACAATTGTATTATGTTGTTATACCTCCTCGCGAACGATGTCATCATTTTCATTGCAGAAACGCCCGGAAGACTATAAAGAAGTGGACGCAAAAGAACAAGATCTAATGCTTTAACACTTTCAGAGTCTGGCCAAATGTTCCAAGATTATCAATTCACTAACTGCTTCAATTTATTTTACTGCAGTAAGTTTCAAGTCACCTCGGCAGTATTTCAGTTCAATCGTGACTATAGAAAAGTATATATTAATCGTATATGCATACTCATTTCAGTTTATTGTATTCAAGGCCAAAGGCCCACATACATATAGGTTACATAATGTTAAGGCAAGTAATCATTATGGGTATACATTTACAGTGTTGTTGTTGGTTTGTTGTTTAACGCCGTACTAAGCAATATTCCAGCTATATGACGGCGGTTACAGTGTATATGACGTTAACAAACATATTGTCGGATCAATATAACTCCGTTACAGAGTTTAGACAATTTTTAACAATTACATTATTAGTATCCATCTCAAGAAATCGGAATTGTTCAAAATTACAATTTTCTCTATATTTGGGGGGTACATATAGCTTTCTGATAGTATCATACAATGGAGATTTTAAGTTAACGTGGTACTCATCTTCAACCATATTCAAAATACAAATTCTTTTGGGATATTTTGTCTACCTCCAGTATCTGGCTGTTGTCCTGACCCACCTTTTCTTAATAGTGCTAGGTGCTGTCTAATATATAATACATTATTGTTTGTAACATAAGATTCATGATATAAATGATGTTATAACTGGAATAAATAATCTGGAGATTTTGTTCAATATTGCATGGCATTCTTGAAAGGAGATATCTTTCAGTCTCATTTTGACTCCATTTGATAAGTATTCAGTATTCCCGACTTCGTGACAAACCGATGTATATCCAAGACATTGTAAAACGTTATTTTCTAATGATTGATATCCACGGTTTTTTTGTGCTTCTCGGCAGTATAACATATTGTAAGCTTTCTTGGGAGCACGTGAATTTTCATATATACAAGAGACAACCAGTATTTGACACATCTTATAAAGCATTGAATCAAACAATTACCATTACACTTGGCATATATTTCGGCACTCTTAAAAATCTTGTGTATGCTTTTGTTTGTTTTTGTGCACACCACAATTCAGATCCATACAAATTAATAGGTTTAATCTTCATGTCAAATATCAAACAGGTCGACGGTAACACGACCAACAGAATCTATTCAACCAAGAAGTTAATATTGTGCCCCTTTATCGTCAATACAAGTATTCTGCATTAATTAAATTAAAGTTAAACATGACCTCAAGATATTGGTATTGAGAGACTCTTTCAATGATCTCCTTCCAAAACCTCCATGATTCACATTTATTCAATGGACCATTTTTCCGAAAAACGATAATGTTCGTTTTTCCTAAGTTAACTTTCAACTTCAATTTTATACAATATAAATACAAAGTATCAAGATCTATTTGCAATTCCGATAGACTAGACAATTTTTCCGAAAATCTTAATGGTGGTGGCATTTCATGTTTATGGATGGCAAACAACTTTTCAAGACGTATTGATATGTCTCAAATTGATTTAGGTGTTTTGCCGGGCTGTATTTTCAACAGTTAACCCAAAAATGTGATAAGTTCAACATGGCCGTCATATCTTTTGGTATTGAACATGATGGTGCCACAGATAAAATATTTTATTGTATGTTTTCTTGTACAAGCAATTAATTAAAACCATACGTTAACCCTCAATATGTCATGAATTCAAGATGGACGCCTTATTATGGAAAATTCGATCAAGAACTTCGTCGAATATCCTTCACGGAATCCTCTTTGTTCATTGGTTATCTTCACACATTCGTTTACCCATGAGGAGGGGCGGCCGGGTAGCCTAAAGGTTAAAGCGTTCGCTCGTCACGGCGAAGACCCGGTTTCGATTCCCGACATGGGTACAGAGTGTCAAGCCCATTTCTGGTGTCCCCCGACGTGATATTGCTGGAATATTGCTAAAAACGGCGTAAACCATACTCACTCACTCACTCCCATGAGGAAATTCTGGTGTTTAACATTGATGTATATAATATGTTGACCCCTGAAGGTATGTGGATTTGTCCTGTCACCACGTTTATGTATAGGTAGAATGATTCCAAGGAACAATATCGTTCTTGAATGTACAGTTAAAAAGAGTCATCATATATAGTTCATTACATATTGTTTTCCTTCCTTCAAAAATGACATTAATTTATCCCTCCCAGCTGCTTTCCCATATATAAGTTCGTCTATTGCTTTATCTATTTCTTATTTCCGTATATCTCCATTCAAGTTTTAAGTAGTATCACGATTGTCTTCGTGTATAAATTTGAGAAAAAAGCATTCCACTGTTCCAAACTAATGTTGTATAGTTGTATACTTTCTAAAACGTCGCCAGAAGTTTGATAAATCTCTTTTTTTGTAAAATCCAAGCTGTTTTGTCTGTATTCACTTTGTTTTGTTCATCTCAAACATTTATAGGTTCGGCGGGGTAGTCTAGTGGTTAAAGCGTTCGCTCGCCACGCCGAAGATCCGGGTTCGATTCCCCACATGGGTACAATGTCCTATTTCTGATGTCCCCCGCCGTGATATTGCTGGAATATTGCTAAAAGCGCCGTAAATCCATACCCACTCACTCACTCAAACATTTGTATTTGTTGTTTATAAGTCTTGTTAGTGTCCGTCTTTCTTCCCGTCTACCCTGTCTACGACCATTGTCCAACCATTTTCTTTTACGTCTTCTTCCACTTGTTACTATTACTTTCAACCAAGTCAGCGAGCCTGATCACCCGATCCCGTTAGTCACCTCTTACGTGTTTCAACTGTACAACCTCTTGATAATCTTTTAACAAATGTTACAAAATAATCCATGAATTCTTATCCTTACAAAATAATCCTAGTTTTGTCAATCGAAAGTTTAACATAACTGTTACCATTTAAAGTTCATGAAGCATGATTGATTCTCATCAAGAGAATCTGGAATAGAGCTCCTTTTCACAAAAGTTAATTTGGTGTCTGTAATTATATTTTAATTAAATACATATCAATTACAGGTTAATAAGTTTGATAAATCGTTAATCATCAACAGTACAGAGATGATGTTCCTGGTCCGATTACATGACAGGAACCTTAGGTACCGCTTTAAACTATATTCATGAAATACCATCACTCAGACATTCGCTCCCAAGTCCCGGATAATTCACTAAAAAAACAAAGCAAATGGTTTCAGTTTGCATTTGATTACAAAGCAACAATACCTGTCATTTCGCCTTCCGAACTACCTTAACACCAGCAAGGACTAGACCGATCTAGTCCCACCTGCTATCTTCTTTCGTGAGGAAATTAGTGTAGGATTTATTCTAATCTGTTCAATAATTATTGTGGAACTTTGTATACATACCAGAAAAGCCTTGCAATATAGAAATGTTGTTTCCGCTTCCAAGGCAACACATCAAACATGCTCAAATGAGAGTATGGTTTATTTGGGAGCATAACTTATAAACTATTTGGTATTACTTTGTGAAAATTGCAAAGGCAATTTAAATATTGCATTTCAAAATCGTTTTTCTTTTACTTCATTCAAATGTAGGTAGGTAGAACTCACATACGGCTCTACATTATTCAGAAACATGTATGTACATACATAAGTCAACTGCTGAACTGGTGGTGCCTTTTGCCGTTAGTAGAAAAGAGATTATACGTGCCACCGAGTGATTGTCGTGACAAACGTTGGTCTCCCCGTTAAGGTTGCAATGGCTGATTAAGAGTGAGTGAGTTTGGGTTATCGCTGCTTTGAACAGTATTCCAGTGTCAGCCTGATGTTGGAAGAACGCCCGAAGTGATGCAGGTCTCAGACGTTTGCCAAACCCACGAGCACGGGTATGGTGCTGACAAACCTAGAAACAAAATCGGGGCGGACCGGGATTAGAACCCACCATCATTGGTTTCTGGTGTACCAAACTGTGCTTAGCGAAATGCGGCGCCTTAGACGACTGGGCCACCCTTACCCCCTGCTGATTAGGACATAACTACAAACACTGCATATCCATTTAGACTCGTGGTACACGTATATAAAAGCGATAAAGCCCTTTCCACATTCAATAGAAATCTCTGCTAAAGCAGGGTAATTGTACCATTCCGACTATATCATGAGCATATGTTTATGAAACGCTATCAAATAATAATGATGCCAGGTGTTCGTGAAAAGGTGAGCGTATCCTGCCCCACCGGTGTCACGCGCCACACACACATGCAAAGGCAAGTCAATTGTTCACATGAAAAAACACGGGAACATATGGTACAAGTCAAAAAAGGGAATTGCATCGGACATCATTTTTGTTACTGATGTGTCAAATTTATAAATGTCTACCATAAAACTTTTTGAAAGCCTGACTGGGGTCTTGAGTGATGTAACCTTGATCAAACAACTTCTGAGCCAGAGTTCTGTGACGCTCTTTGAAAGCCTGGTCGAAAGAGCATGCTCGATTGTGTCTCAAAAGTTGTGAAATGTAAACACCAAGAGCTGGAACTGCAGGAATATTGCTCGACGTTAAGGACAAAAATACTTTTGGAAATTTGAAGTCACCCCAATTGTCACACAGTCGTGTGGAGGGTGTTTTGTATAAGAAATGAATACGTTCACACCCGCGCTTACCTCAATGCCTCAAGGGGGCACGGGTGGCCCAGTCGTCTAAGGCGCCGCGATTCGCTGTGCAGGGTTGCGTCACATTGGCACGCCAGAAACCTATGATTGTGGGTTCGAACCCCGGTTCGCCCCGATTATGTTTCTAGGTTTGTCAGCATCATATCCGTGCTCGTGGGTTTCACCGAAGTGGTAAACGTCTGAGGCCTGCATCACTTCGGGCTTTCCTCCCACATTAAGCTGACACGCCGCGATATAACTGGAATATTGTTAAAAGCGGCGTTAAACCCAACTCACTCACTCACTCACTCAATGCCTCACTATGATTCGATGACGGCCGTGTGACCATTTGTACAATCCGGAAGTCTGACACTAGGAAGTGCGTACGTAAAATCTTGCATGTGGCTCGGGCCGTGAAAGGTGACGGCGTCAATTGGTTTTAACAACTATTGCAGCCAAACCAACGTACAACGTTCATGTAAAAACGAACAGAGAAATAAAATCGTTCAGAAGAAATATGTGAATGTGCACGTGGCGGTAATTGTAATGTTTACGTCTGGTGGTAGACATTTTCATAATTCAGCTTAATTCGGTGTCATCATTTGTTGGCGAGTGAGTGAGTATGGTTTTACGCCACCTTTAGCAGTATTCCAGCAATATCACGGCGGGGGACACCAGAAATGGGCTTCACACATTGTACCCATGTGCGGAATCGAACCCGGGTCTTCGGCGTGAGGAGCGAAGACTTGAAACCACCAGGCTACCCCACCGCCCCATCATTTGTTGAAAATATACGGATGACTATTGTCTTGTCAGTCTCTTGCTTGTTAGTTTTTAAAAAGTGGATGACGGCTCTTTATCTCGGATACTATAGTAAATGTGGCGAGTCCGCCATATCTTGTAACCAGTGTGCGAGCCGCCATTGTCTTGACCTTGACACTTGATTTTGCACGATGACCCGTGTACCCGGATGTCCCGTACATGACATCCCGAACGCACTCGGAACCTATAGTCTGGAAGATAATTCAAGGTACCGACGTTTACTACAATATCTGAAAAACTATTGGACCTACTCCAGTCAAACTTGGTGTGAGGTTATTAAACAGTCAAACATAACTGGATATTACATATAAAGAAAATCGGTGCATGAATAAAAAATCTGTCTATTTAGCTATCACTATATTTCATCAACAACCAGACCTGTTCGTCACGGGTGGAACGAGCATTCATTGAAACAGCCATCTGCATAATGCTACCCCTATGTCACAGGGCCATATGACACAGTTGAACCAATCAACTCAACTTGAAAGGGTGCACGGGAATCACGCACGCACGAATACGGTGTTAGCGTTGGGCGTCTCAACGTGCGTGATTCCCGTGCACCCGCATAAAACCTCATGTACCCCTGGTGATCCTGCTACAACGAATTTATCTTTCCGACATGTTTTAATATGACATTGTAATTGAATTCAAACAAATTCAAAATTGACAGAAAATGTTAGCTTGCGCTATATCACGTGATTTCCACTGACTCGGAAAAAGCTTTGAAGCGGGGTACAAGGGATTTATTCTGCCTCTCAGAAATCCACGTGAAGCCTTACTTGTTCGTGGCGGTGTATAAGAGATTTATTCCCCCGCTGAGAAATTTGTTCCCCTCGAAGGCGGGATACACAGTATTTTATCAAGATCACGTGGACCAATCAGATCTCATCCTTCTGACATGGAGGTATGATAATTGCACTTGTCACCATTCGTCACCACCCGCCCCTTTCCGTAACCTGCAAGAATCTTGTCCTAGAATGACACGAATTGTCGCGAGAGAAATGGTTTATTTCGCCTCTTCCTGTGTCACCGCCACCGCGACAGCAGGGCATCACGGCACTTTGTGGCGACAGATATATATAGTATATCCCCCGCCATTTGAAATAGAATAACGAAATACCGCGATGATAAATTAACGGCGATAACTGCATGCTTGAAATATACTTGTGCCCTTAAGGAATATTTATTTACAGGAATAACAAATAAATCGAAAATGCACTGCATGATTGATGTAAATTTGGTTAGAGATAAACATCATCATTAACTTTTAATCAAATGAAAAGTGAGAGAGGTGAGGGGGAGCGGTAGGCCAGAGCTTTTTCCCTGCTCAACTGCCAAGGAGACAGAAGTCAGTCAGCAGGGTGATATATTTTCAACCTTTAAATGGGCCTTTTTGCGTCTTTTTCGAACATTGAAATATGCTCAAATGGTCATTTATAATGGCAGGTGCTTTTACTTGTGAGAATGTTTTAACTACAATAAATGTTAAATATCACCATCCATCCAGACATTTACTAAATTTGGAATTTTACTCAATGTAGACTGAATGCCAGACCCGTGAAGATCCGGGGTAGAATAGGTCTTCAGCAACCCATGCCTGCCGTAAAAATGCTTGCCATAAGAGGCGACTAACGGGATCGGGTGGTCAGGCTCGCTGACTTGGTTGATGCCTGTCATCGTTTCCCAATTGCGTGGATCGATGCTCACTTCAATCAGTGGATTATCTGGTCCAGACTCTTTTTTTTTACAGACCACCGTCGTATAGATTGGAATATTGCTGAGTGCGGCGTTAAACAACAAACAAACAAACTAAATGTATATATGTTATTTTGAATGCTGACTGGCAATCTTGCGATAAGAGTTGATTATTTCCCTTTGACCGACTAGATCATTCGTCACCACTCGCCCCTTTCCGTAACCTGCAAGAAGATCCGGAATAACACGAGTTGGTCACGAATGCGGCTAGATACATGTATACCGTCAAAACAATAACATTACCTCTAGAGTAGAAGGTCGTTGGTTCAACCCCCTGGTCGCCTCATACCTAAAGGCGTTAACAGATTATTTTTGTGGACCCGAGAAGATTCGGGTTAGAATAGGTCTTCAGCAACCCA